TGACTGAGCTGGTACAGAAAAGGGACTAGGACTAAGCACTGTGTAGGTCTTGCTTTCCTTCACTGTCCATCCCTTGAGTTCTGGGCTTTTCCTTTCTGCCTGTCAGTGGTACAGATTACTGAATGGTTTTTGCTTGGCAGAGTCAAACATGCGGAAACCGTACTTTACCCATCTCTCTCTATCACTGCACCGCCCCGCCTCCCTCTAGTTTCTAGTCTTTTGGGGGCTCGGTGTGTGTGATTGTTTTGATGCTATTCGTGCCCCTATTATCCATCCTTCCACCTTTTCTCCCCCTCTTCCCTTCCTCTTCTCTAATCATACTCTCCCTTCTACTTTTTTGCCTCCCCCTTTTGGTTCCACATATTAGGGAAGACACCCACATTTGTCTCTCTGGGTCTGACATCTTTCCTTGAACATGAAACAACAAACTTTCTGCAAATGATAACTTTGTGGTTTTAAGGTTGATTAATATTCCATTGTAGCTACATACCACACTTCCTTTGTCCACTCAACAGTGGATGGGAGCTAGGCTTATTCCAAATCTAAGCTAAAACTAGAGCTGCCATTCGAGATTCCACACCCTCCTCACTTTCCCCGTTTTGCAGAGGAAAAACAGAGGGCTTGGTGCGATGGATCCTTAGGTTGAGGGGCGGTAGGGACAGCATCAGAGCCCAGTCACTGTGACACCGAATTGGTCCTCTTACCCCTCAATTTCAGAGCCCCATCACAGCCACTGTTTTATTGCAGCTGTGAGTCCCTCCTCATCTGTAATTGCAATGTGGTCGAGAGATGCATTCCCAGTCAGTCACTTTTACCTACAAGTACAAATCTCAGAAGCACTGCTTCTACCCACCCTACACAAAGACAGCTCTTCCATGCTGGTTAGTAAGGAGAATTAACTATAAGGCCAGTGCTGCAACTATGTAATTTATTTGAATAAGCAGTTCTTTATTCACTGGTGATAAGTCATTCTAGACAATCATTTATTCTCTGATTTAAAAACAATCTATTGGAATGCAGACATTTCTCTAGACAAATATTCTGAACTGACAAAATTATAGTCTCAGCCTTCAGGGTAACAGTTGGTAGATGGGCACTTTTTCCTTTTAGTTTTTTAGATTTTCTGAATCAGAGTCTTACTATGTAGTTCAGGCTGGACTTAAACTCACTCTATATTCCAGGTTGGGATTTAACTCCTGGTGATCCTCCTGCCTCAGCCTTCTGAGTGCTGGGATTACAGGCATACACCACCATTCCTGGCTAGATGGGAACTTCTAACATCAGGAATAAACAGAACCACCACAGCAAAGCCCTAAAATCTATTGGTGCTCATCCTGAGCTTCTAATCTCTATTATGATATCACTGAAACTATGTCACTGACAGTTCCTCCTACTGAAAAGTAGATTTTCTTAGGGAGGGCAGTTTCAAATGCCATGTTCTGTCCAGTGTGGGGTCTCAGTAGATGCTCACTGAGAAACGCATGAAAATCATGATCATGAGCATCAGTAATACATAACTATGGAATATACCAAAAACTACTAAATTGCATTTCTTCTTGTGAACACTGAATCAATGTCAGTTGTTACTGACACACAACATGTGACAAAGTAATAGAGCAGATGGAGACATTTAGTGAATCTTACCTAAATTGGGCCTTAAATTGAAGGCCTGTCAAGTTTCCCTTTGCTGAAGGTACTCTTTTCTGCACTGACAATCCTATACTTTATGTTAAACTTGACCCCTGGGAAGCCAAGAGAGAGACTCACCTTTTGCATACTAATCAGCCACAAAGGTTGGAATTCCTTGACATCCTAGAAGCAAAGACAAAGTGCAGGTATGCTGTGATCTGCTGCTAAAAGAGAACTTATTTCAGTGTCAATGCTTCCCTTGAGAATCAATCCTTCACCAAAAGCTTAAAGCCTTTGTAATGACTGAACTCACTTTACAAACATCCACTGTCCAGGAAGTAGCTCTGTCCGTGAACCTGGGTTTTCTCCAGCTACTCAGCAGCTATCGCACTTGGAAAGGTCAGGTCCACTTTGAAGTGTCCAAACCCTCCCAGGGAGATGGTGTCCTTCCCACAGGGAAAGCTTGGCTCATTCTTTTCATCCTGCTTCACAGAAATGGGTGGAGAAGGTGGTGGGGAAGACAAGAGGGAGATGGCCTGAATACCAAAGGGTCCCCCTCCAGCAGAGACCGGAAGATCCATCTGAAGAAGTCACAGGGGACTACGGAGCAGAGCCCGGGAAGAGATGAGTACACCTACTATGGATTCCCTGGAATCTCAGCAAGGATGAGGGCATATTTCTTTGACATTCACACCAATGTGCTATTTCTCATAAGAGCTTGAGATCATCTTAAAATTACCAATACTTGCCGAGAAAAGAAAGTGTCTATGCTCCTGGTCAGAGGAAAAGTCCAGGAATCTGTACTACAATGCATCTGTGTGGCTAACACTACTTCCGGTGTATCATGGAGGCCCTGGAGGCGACACTTTACCTCCGACACATGGGTTCTCCTACTCTAGAAAAGGCCGTGGATAGGCAGGAGTTCTTGTTAGATTAATGTTACTGAAAAAGAAAGTCTGCACGTTTCATGTTTACAAGTCAGTGTGTCTGAGGGTGAGTTTGCGTCTGTGGAACTGTCACCAACATCATGGCTGACTCAGCCACTTTTCTGATGCTGACACAATACCGACACCCACAACTTAAAGGGGGTGTTTTAATTTGGGTCACAGTTTCACTCCGTGGTCAGCAGTAACAAAATGGCAGAGGGGCCTGGCATGGGAAAAGGAAGTCAACCAATGGCAGCCTGGAAGGAGACAGAGAAGGGAGGAGATGGGGAGCAGGGTGCCCCATTCCAGATCACACCCTGGGAGTCCACCTCCAAACACACCCCACTTGCCAACAAGTCTGCACAGCACCCCCTATCCGATCCCCTTCCACACACATGAGAATTCTGAGGGTGCTGCAGATCCTTGTTTTAACAAAGGCTATAAATTTGCCCATCACTTCCCGAAGCTCCCTCTTATTATGCGTGCAGGAACACTGCATCCCTTATCTGCCTTCTTAGAAAATTGTAAGTTGACAATTCAGCATTGGTGGCAAGAGGACCCTGTCCTTTGCCAGTCCCTCAGGGAAGGACTTGTTGGACATATGGCATCTGATACCAGGTCCTCTATGATTGACTTAGTACGGGACTGTGGCCCATTTCTGGACAATGAGAAGTAACAACATGTTACTTATCAGCTATCAGGAAGTTGCTATTAAAAGAAAGACACTTGAACAAGTGGTTTTGTGACTTTGTGGGACAGCTCTGAGGGCTGGAGGTGCCCTGGCCACGTGTCACAGGACAGGACCTAACCTGAGGGAAGCCCTGCACATGGATGGTATAGGGGAGGAATAATTCTGTTGCAGTGTGAGGTATCCTCATTGAAAAAAGAATGAAGTATACTTTTTTTCCTGTTAAATTCTTTTATTGGTACATTGTAGGTATACAATACATTTACATTTCTCATTGGGAACCTGGACCTTTACATGATGCATCTTGGTTCTTACTTTTCCCCCATTCCTAGCCCTCCCTTCACCCCCTCCACCCTTCCCTATTTACAAAGATTTTGTTTCCATTTTTTCCATTTCTCATCATTT